TATTTCTTGACAGCAACAGAGTCAGCATTAACGTTCGTTTCCTGCTCCAGCTCCACCGCAGCATCATTTCCTTGTGGTGCACTTCTTTCCCTGTCCTGGACGAACAGCTTCTCCAGTGGCTCGTCCCGGCTAAACAGGTCCAGGATGTACGCAGCGCAGTACTTTTCGAAGTGGGAGACACGTTCGCTCTCGCTTGTCAGGCCTTCAACCAGTGGAAAATTTCCTCCCTCACTTTCGGCACAAAGATGTAGCACAGTGCCGTCTGGACGAGTCTCTCCGTCACCATCGCACACACGGCATAGTTCCACTTGACTGCGTCCTTGTTGATAGGAGCTTCTCTCGTGGCCACCTCGAGAGGATTGGAGTCGCAAAATCCCAGCTTTAACACGCCGATCCCCAGGTCGACGAGCTTGATTGACGAGTTGTGCGTGAAACAGTAGCCTTTCCCACCCAAGTAGAACGCCTCTGTAATGTCTCTGAGCACACTCCGCAGGTAACGGTCCGAGCGCAGGATCATCAATGTGTCGTGGACAGAATTCGGTGCATTTAGCTGGCTGCCACCTTTGGTCGCGAGTGTTAATGCGAAGTCCTCCAGAAATTCCAAAGCCTTCTCTCTCGGGGTACGCCTGCTGATGTACGCGTGCAGAGCACTAGCGATTGTGCCAGCACGGGCCTGGTAGTACTTGGAAAACAGCCTTTTGTAGTCGCCGGGGCCCAAAAAGCTGGACACATAGTCCGAGAAGGCTCCAAAGCTGCTGGAATCTTCAAAAGTTTGGGTAGTAGCCACTATTTCCTGCGTGAGCTGCTCGGACTCCCCGCTGCAAACCGGCGATTCCATATCCTGAGCCTCCGCGAGAAGTTCTCCCCCCGTTCCAGCTAGAATGCACGCTGTTGGAACCTTCTTCTGCGTTCTAAACGCCTTGACGGCCTGCGAGAGCAAACTCTTGAGCTTCGCCGGGTGGATGTCGGATCTAAACCTGTTCCTGAGCGGCGGCAGTGCCTCGTCCACCACAAACAGCAGCTTCCCGCTGCTGCCTGCTAGACCACCATCGATCCTCTCGTAAGCTTCTTGGACGAGAGCCGAGAACTTCTCTTCCAGGTACGCGCTCGGCAACTCTTGCTTGATCACGAACAGCGTCAACTCCCGGAACACGTCTCGAGGCCGGCACTCAGTCTGGCAAATCAACCACTCCAGCGGCGAGATCCCCGGCTTGATCTCCAGAACCTTCGAAAAGATGGCCAACCTCGCCACCAAAGCACACAGTGCCACATCCATGCCAACTCGTCGGGGGATAAACTCGGTGGCCTTGTTGTGACTCGGGTAGCAAAGCTTGAGCGTCTCTACGACCGCTGCGAAGTCCTTGGATTCACCGTTCTCTACCCGCGAGGCCACGAAGTAGAATCCAAAGTTCTGTGCCAGGACTTCGTAGAGAGTTCTCGTCTTTCCACACCCCTTTCCACCGACGAGGAAAACGCAGTGATTTGTAGCAGCCTCTCGGAGTCGAGCAACGATCTCGGTGGCCAGCGTCCCATCGTTTCTCGAATCCTCGAGCCTGTGATGGAGAAGGCTGGGCACCGCCTTGGCCGGAGTGCTAAAGGACGCCACTTCCACGTCCACATTGGGATACTTCTGGTAGAATATCGGAGGATCGCTCACGATGCCTTCGAGCGTGGATCGATTCTTGTCCAAAAATCCGTCCAGCAGCGATTCGAAAGGCTCGGCTGCTGCGCATCCAAATCCGTGAGAAAGAATGCGCCCATTCGTTTGTCCTCACCTTCGTGCCCGCCGGATGGATTGTGGCCGTCGTGCAGCGATTGGAACGTCTCGGGAGATTCCCGAGGCGCGGGAGATGGATCTGCGAGTGGAATGCGTCACAAGAATGCGCCATAGCTTCACACATTTCGCTCTTACCTCCGTTCAAATCGTTCTCCATACCGAAGCCCTAAACCCTGAACCCAGAATATTCTTTGGTTCTTCTTTTAGGGTTCTTGGGAATGGCTCGAAGGCAGGATGTCGTCTGTCGAGATTTCCAGCGCGGGACGTAAGTGAAGAGTTTGATTTGGTCGATCCAGGCTTGATTTCTCGTCTTTCCAGCTGCCGGTTCGGTGCGCATTGCAAATTTCTCCACCAGCAACAGGTAGATTTGTAGCATCCGATTGAAGAGATGTTTTGGTTTTGATCGAGCTCTTTCAGGCGGGATTTGGGAGGCAAAATCAGGCTGTTCAAGCGCCTGTTCAAGCGCCAGAACACAGGTACTTTTCTCTGTTTCCTTCGATTCTTGCTCAATCGTGCTTTGATTTTTCTCTCTTTTCTTCCAATAGGTGCAATGATCCGAGAGCATGCAAGGAGAGAATTCGAGATGATTTCACGAATGAAAGGCCGAGTTATTGGCGCTTGACGTGCTACGCTCATTGGAAACAGTTAAGTTCGCTTTCATCCTGTTCTTCCTTTTGTTCAAGGAAGAAAAAAACTCTTTTTTCTTTGCTTCTCTAGCCTTCCCAATGATATTTCTGGAGATACAAGCTTTGAGGAGCTGCGAGCCATGGCTTACGAATCTGCTCTACAAGGAATGCCGCTCCGAGATATTGTAAGCGAAGCTTTTTCCTTCTCTTAACTGGGTTACTGATTCGTGCACCATAGACGAGCAGGGAAGCATATATGTTTCGTGCCAAGGAGGCTGAATTTGACGCCCTCAAGAGAGATCCTTACAAAGGACCAGCGAGCAAAGGCTTCTCCAATGTCCAACCTTCGCCACTAGCGTCAAGTACAATCTTTGGCAAGCTCGTGCCAAACAACTCGCCTATATCTCAGATGTTTAAGCAAGATACCAAGTAAGTAATGTTTGCTACTACGTTTTGGTCAACTTATCTCTCGGTAACAGCATGGGAGGATTTGGAAATGGACCGGTTATTTCTCCGCCTCAGCAGATCCAACCAGCGGCTTTCAGCTTTCCATCACCCTCCCCGTTCCCTGCTCAGTCGGTTTTTCCACAAAATCCTCAAAGTCCATCGCCATTCACCGTGCAGCAGCCATCTCCTTTCAATCCGGTGTCATCTTTCGGCAGCAATAATGCAATGCAAAATGCTTTCAGTCCTCTGCCAACTCCAGCGATTGTCCAGAGTCCATTCCAGCAGCCTTCTGGTAAGCTTAAGCAAATACACCATCCATTCGGTTCTAACGAATTTTGTCGCATCAGTTTCTCCTCCGACCGCGGCTGTTTTACCAATGTAAAAGCTTCTTGTTTTGGTTTTGAAACGTTTGTTACTTAAAAACAACATGCAGAACTCCAGAAGAGACTGCGACGTGGGGTGTGGAGCAGTGGGAGCTTGGCCAGGTAAAAAATCCTCTCATACTTTGTTTTGAGGCTTTAAGACGAGGAACTTGGCTGCTCCAGATTCCAGAGGACGAACCGCCTGTAGCGGTCAGATAGCAAATTGAGGTTCGTCGTCGTCGTCGAGAGAGATACGCGTAAATCTTCACTGACTTTTATATTGGCTTTACTATAATGTTGAATTTACTTTTATAGCTATCACTTTGAGAGCTCAAGGCCGATACGTGGCCTACGAGAGTATCGACACCGAAAGGCGCCGGAAACACAGCCGCTGATTCGTAAGTACTTGCGTGGTGGATGATCTTAATTGCCGTCTCATAACACGCGCTTTCAGGAAAGCTTTTCACTTGTCGGAAACGCCAAGTTGGACGACAAGTTTGACAAATCGTGCACAGTGCAGAGCAATAAATGGAGATTGCCTTGCAAACGAACAACCAAATGGATTTCATTCCCGACCTCTTCGACGAGTTGGTGCTCGAGAACATCTTGCCAAGGCTACCTTGGTACACTCGCCCGGTGTGCCGAGCAGTCTCCAGCTCCTGGAAAGCTCTCGTGGACAGCGCTCTACGCGACGATCATCTCATCAGCAGCACTCGCGACTTCCAGCTCCCGCTGCTCCGAGACGCTCCAGTGGTCTGTCTGGGAAACGAATACGAGGTACTCGAAGCTCTCATTTCGGACAGGTCACGGGGGTCACAGGTGTGGCGGAAGCTCCCGCCGATAGAGAATCTACCCGAGGGACGAGCAAAGATTGTTGCATGGTCCGGCATGGTTCTCGTGTGGACTTTGGCACCAGGCAAGTGCTGGTCACCTTCGAGAGATCTCATCTTTAAACTCGACGTCGGTGGTGCTAAGTGGACGTGGGACGTGATTCCGGCCAAAAACTCCAGTAACTGGTTCGACGCCATCGCTTTTAGTGGCAAGATATACTCGACCTGGGAAAACAGGGGATCTCCCTATAGCCTCCGTGCTCCTGTCAAGCTGGACGTCAGAGTATTTGATATGAAGGTGGACGCGTACAACACTATTGGAAAGTGGAATTTTTCCAACGTTGCGGTGGCGCTCTCGCCGGCTGGCGACGAAAACTTGTATGGTCTACAGTGGCACAAGGAGACAGTGGAACTCATGCGCTACGATGCTGCGTCGAGTACGTGGAAGCCCCAAGAGGAGATACCAAGGCAGACAGAGCACAGGAACTCGACGCTCACGGTAGTGAGTGGTGATTGCTTTGATCCTCCAGTGAAGCTGGGAATCAATGCCATCACTTACGGTTACCTCGATGGCAATGCTATACACTGGTATAACTCGGCAGTGCAAAAGACTTGGATGGCGATTGCGGAGAACAGGCCCGAAGAAGCAGCGAGTTTCAAGGTTTTTGTGATCCGAGGCGTCCTTTACGCAGGCTCGACGTCGATCGATCCGAAGAAAATTAAACGCTGCAAGATTTTCGAAGGAAAGATAGATGTGGCAAGCAGGAGGATGGTGTGGGAACCAGTTGCTGGCTTTCCCGTGGCGATCACTTGCTTCACTCGGATGACTTAAGTATGAGTATGTCCCTGTTTCTTCGATGCGATTGATCCTTTGTCTCGGTTTTTCCACCGCTGGCCGCCGCTATACCAATGTAATTTTGTCCTCTTTTTCTTGTATTCTTTCTCACGTCTTGTTCCTTGTGATTTCCAGATGCAGTATAGTGCTCAAAGTATAGCGGTCTAAGGCGGAAGATCTGTGAGTGCGTTGTGAGCTCTTTCTTGATCTGGCCGTTTTTAACACTCGCTTTCAGGATAGGAGCGATATGAGCGATACCGATCTCATTCCCGGTCTCTGCGATGAGCTTGCTCTTGAGAACATCCTACCGAGGTTGCCATGGTATACTCGTCCGGTGTGCCGAGCAGTCTCCAACTCCTGGAGAGCTCTAATGGACAGCGCTCTTCAATACGACGCTCATCTCCTTAACACCACTCGCAACTTCCAGCTCCCGCTCCTCCAAGACACTCCACTCGTGAGCCTGGGAAACGACTCCGAGGTACTCCAAATTCTCATTTTGGACAGATCACAGGGGTCATGGCGAAAGCTCCCACCGATAGAAGGGCTCCCAGTGGGCCGAGCACAGATGGTGGCGTGGTCCGGGATGGTTTTCGTGTGGACTTTGGCTCCTGGCAAGTCCTGGTCACACTCGAGAGATGTCATCTTTAAGCTGGATATTGGCCGTGCAAAGTGGACATGGGACAGGACGCCGGCTAGGAGGGCGAGTAACTGGTTCGACGCCATCGCCTTTGGTGGCAAGATATATTCCAGCTGGGAATACAGGAGATCTGTCTATGGTATTCATCCTTCCGTCAAGCTGGACGTGATAGTATATGATATGGAGACGGGAACCTGCGACACCATTGAAAAATGGTTTGTCTCGGGCGCCGGGGTGGTGCTCTCGCCGGCTGGAGACGAGATCTTGTATGGTTTTCACGATAAAACGATGGAACTTATGCGCTACGAGGCTGCCTCCAATGCGTGGAAATCGCAAGAGCAGATAACAGGGAAGCCAGAGTTCCGGACCACGAAGGTGGTCTCCGGTGATTGCTTTGAGCCTGCAATGGAGGTGGGAACGAACGTCATCTCCTACGGAGGGGAGGCCATGCGCTGGTATAACTCAGCAGTGCAAGAGGCTTGGGTGGCGATCGAGAAGTGGCCCAGGACGGACAGGTTTAAAGTGCTGGTGATCCGTGGCGCGATTTATGCAATCTCTAGGATGGTTTATTCGAGTGGAAGTTTGAAACACTGTGAGATTTTGAGAGGGAAGATAGATGTGGCAAACAGGAGGCTGGTTTGGGACGCAGTTGCGGAGTTTCCCTTTCCTGTGACAATCACTTGCTTTGTTAGAATGGCTTGAAGTAAAATTGTTTTAGTGCTTGTTGGGTTTTTAGAGTGCTCTGGACTTTGTTTAATCGAGTCGATTGGAGTTTTCTCATGGGTCTTTCCTGGGACGCGTTTTAGCGTCGCCTCGGCACTGTTGGGCGGCTCGTTGCCAAACTAAGCGGGTGAACGCTTGGAGGCAGAGGATCACTGCGCCATCTGTTGTGTTTATGCTGTAGCCGCCAGGTGGAATAGAGACTCATACGGACTGTACCACGCACTTATTTCGAACAAGGAAAAAACTCTCATTTTTTCTAAGCTGGACAGGTTTCTTAAAAACTGCACGCGGCTTGCTCGATCCATCACAGTTGCCGCAATGCTTGGCACGCCACGGCCTGGAGGCGCGCTCCTCTGCTACTGCGCAGCTTGCCCACCAGCGACTCCAGGGCTTGGTTGATTTTATTTATTTAGTATTTGGATATATTAACTATATTACTAAATCAGGCTAGAATATACTTGGAATTTTTTTTGTGTGTTTTCACAAAAATGAATTAATAGTTTTAGTTACTACTTTAAACATTTTTTATGATTATTAGTTTTTGTATCCCATATTACATTATGAGGTGTAATTGCGTTATATATTACAAAGTTACAGTCGTTCTGCATAATAGAATATGTGAAAATAAAACAATTTACACAATAATATTCTATTGACCATAAAACTTCTTTCTTTTCAGAATATAATACAGAATTTCCATCAATTT